CAGCGGCCGGGGGGAGCGCCCGCGGTCCCGGCGCCGCCGCTGCTGCCTCTCCCCGCTCTGTCCTCCCGGGGACGCCCGGCAGGTGACCCCCTCCCAGCTGGACCCCGCAGCCGGGGGAGGGAGGGGACGGTGGCCTCACCTTGTTTGAGGCGGGTCGTGGTTGGGAGAGTGAGTCTCCTTCTCTCTACTCCCTGGGGTCTTTTCTCGACCCCCATCTCTTGGGGTACCCCTTGCTGGGATCTGCGGCCCGGGGTGACCCCGCCCCTGCTCTCCCACAGGTGTTCCACGTGTCCATAGTATTTGCGTCACAATGACCTGGCCGACAGGTGGCAGCTGCAATGAACACCCCAGGGTTCCCTCTGTGCTGTGGGTGGTACGTGTTACTTGCGTCCACGTTAGATTTCTGTGGCTTTAGGGTACGGGAGATTAGATGACTTCAATGCCAAGAAAAGTTAGGCCTGTACCTGCAAAGCAAGTTTGGGCTTAAAGGAAAAAGATCGTGCCTAAAAACAACTGTGTATATGTATGTATGTGTATATGTACACGTATATTTTTCATCCCCGTGTATTCCTATGTCTTTTATACTTAAGTTATTGGCACTTACAGCGGTTTCATCTTTTCTTATCCTTTGTCAGTAGGAAAGAACCAAACCCTTGTTTCTGAGATACCCATTGCAGTGTGCAGATCACAGGAAGAAAGTGTTGGAATAAGTGCTTTCTAATATTATCTGTGCTGAAATTAAATTCCAAAGTTCTGTGACTCCATCCTTGGATATGTTATATATTTATAAATAAGTTCATTGAATAGTCACTGGTCGAAACAATTTAACAGGGTGGAATGAAAGATAATTATTGAGTAATGATGCAAACCAATCTGAAACACACAGCTAACATGAATGGGGTGCTCGCTATGAGCCAGGCATATGTTGTATGCTTTACACTTAATCCTTATAACAACCCAGTACTGTAGGTAAAATTATTATCCCTATTTTACAGATAAAGACACTGTCCTGAGTGCCATCAAGAGATTATTGACCAGGGATTTGAATTTAGTGTTGTCTGAACCGAAAGAGTTAGCTTAATCTCAAGATAGAATGGTGTCTGTCCGGGATGGATAAACATTTAGAAGGAAAAGATGTTGACATTTCAATAGAAAGGAAATAAGATGGCATAGCTCCAGAGATTTACATAACCTTTAAAGTTATTCTTTGGAGATTCTGTTTGTCATAGATGTGAACGTGTTCCAGTATATCATAAAATGTGGAACTGGGTAGACATCAGGCCCTTAATAAATGCTTAGGAATAGACAAATACTGAATGACTATGGTCTGCATAATACAAAATTGCTGAAAAGCTAAGATTCAGGAGAAATTTGGGGAGAGAAAAACATTGTTTCTATATATTTGGCTTTTATGAAAAACATTCAAACTAACCTGTTAACATAAGCCAAATGATTTTCTTTGTAAGAATAAAAAAGGGGGGAGGGGCTTTAAAATGAGAAACAAAGGCTTCCTTGAAAAAGAAAGATGATTAAGATATTTTCTTTTGATATACTTGATTCCAAGAACCATTGACTTATGTGTAAAAAACCTGTTACCAAGAGTTAAAAAGAAAACGATTATTTTTTAATGGAATGAAATGCTATTTCTAACATCATAAGTACTCAGTAAATGTTAGCTGAATATATCATCAATTAACTAAAGAGTTTGGAAAAGAATAGCCCAGGCTGGACGGTTGGCTCAGTCGGTTAAAGCACAGTGTTATAACGCCAAGGTCAAAGGGTTCAGATCCCCATACTGGCCAGCCACAAAAAAGGAAAAAACAAAAAATATGGACCACACAAAAAGAGGTTTTTTTCCTGACTCTATAATGTTTTCTTTTCCACTGGTGGCAATTTACTAGTTACATGAAAATGTATTAGAAACCGTATTTATCAAAGTCTGGCTTTGTAGCAGATATTTGTTTGTTACAAGAAAGCCAGTAGAATAGCAGATTGCTTGTGCATTCAAAGCATCCCTCAGAATGCAGATAACTGGAACAAAAGCATGGGAGGAAGTAAAGGAGAAAGCTGATATGTAACTATTTACTCAGGTTTCTTTTTACCTTTCCAAATGCCAGGGTGGAAACCCTGGCCGTGAGTCTAGCAACCTGTGACAGAGGCTAAAAGTGGAGTCAAAGGCAATGTCTAATAGTGAATAAATATGTGATACAAGCATGATCTGGTCAACATGGCACTGAAATTTCCTGGGCTTCAAGAGAGTTTAAGAGAAAACTTTAAGTGACTTTTCATCATTCCTAATTTTGTACTAACACTTAGGATAATATTTAAGGAAGGAAAAAATAAACTCCTGCTCATTCGATATCCCCACAATGAGTTCTTTTCCTTCCCACTTAAAAGATTGCTCCAGCTATCCCACTGCTGGGTATATACCCAGAGGAATGGAAATCATCATGTTGAAGGGATCCGTGTTTATTGCATTGCTATTTACAATAGACAAGAGTTGGAATCAGTCTACATGCCCATCATCAGATGAGTGGATAAGGAAAATGTGGTATATCTACAGAATGGAATACTCCTATGTAATAAAAAAAAAATAATAAATAAATAAAAAACAACGAAATACTACCATTCTCAGTAACATGGATGGACTTAGAGATAATTATATTAAGTGAAATAAGCCAGGCACAGAAAGAGAAATACCACATGCCCTCACTTATTTGTGGGAGCTAATAAAATAAAGAAATAAATATACAAACAAATAAGGGGTGGAGGGGAAGAAGACACAACTATCACAACAATCCCTTGAACTTATTAAGATAAGTGAACAGATATGATGTTGATAAAGGGGGGAAGGGGGAAAGGAGGAATTGGTAAAGGGACATGAAAATCAACTACTTTGTATATTGATAAATTAAAATAAAAAAAATTAAAAATCGGTTCATGTGGAAAGGAGGAATTGGTAAAGGGACATGAAAATCAACTACTTTGTATATTGATAAATTAAAATAAAAAAAATTAAAAATCGGTTCATGTGGAAAGGAGGAATTGGTAAAGGGACATGAAAATCAACTACTTTGTATATTGATAAATTAAAATAAAAAAAATTAAAAATCGGTTCATGTTATAACACTTGCATTTGTTTCTGGCTATCAAGTTTTGTTTCTGTCTTGCAGAGCACCCACAAGGTACAAATGAGAATCCGAAGCAATTTCTAGGAAGAATGGCTATTGAATGACGGGATATGAAATTGGAAAAGAAACAAGGTGCCTTTTCCAGATGCAACAGGATGACAAAGAAACTTTTTCTCAGAAAAAAATCTATACATATTTAATTATGTGAATTTTTTTGAGAGCATCCTAGATTTAATATGTGCTCATTAGGACCTCATGAGTTAGGAATTGTGTTAGACTACCATGAACAGACACCCCGAATAGCAGTGGATTAAATGGGACAGAGGTTTATTTTCTCTCACATAAAAGAAATTGGAAGGTAGGCAGTCTAGGGCTGGTATGATCTTTACTGTATCATTAGGGTGTTGCCTACCTTCTCTGTTCTCTACCTCCTTCTTCCAAATCGAAGGCTATTGCATCATTCTTAGCAAAGTAATATTGTTTAAAAGTAAATCCAGGCAAGGATGTGGAGAAATCAGAATCCTCACACGCTGCTAGTGGGAATGTAAAATAGTGTAGCCACTGGAAACCAGTCTGGCAGTTCTTCAAATGATTAAACATAGAGTTGCCGTATGACCCAGAAATTTCATTCTTAGGCATGTACTCAAGAGAAATAAAAACCTATGTCCACTCAAAAATTTGCACATGAATGTCTACAGCAGCATTGTCCAAAATAGTCAAAAGGTCAAAACAACCAAACTGTCCAGCAGTGGACAAATGAATAAACAAAATGTAGTATATTTATATAATGGAGTATTATATGGCCGTGAAAAGAAATGAAGTACTTATACATGCTACAACTACGATGAATCTTGAAACCGTTAACACTGAGTGAAATAAGCCAGTCACAAGGTCCATATATTATTTCATTCATATGAAAGTACAGACTAGGGAAATCTATAGAGACATAAAGTAGTTTAGTGATTATTTAGGGACAGAGAGAGCATGAGAAGATTGGAGTGACAGTTATAGGGTACGGGGTCTCTTTTTGGGGTGATGAAAATGTTCTATAATTGGCAGTGGTGATGCTTACACATATCTGTGAATATACAAAAAAACATTGAATTGCATGTTTTACAATTCATTGTGAATTGTATGGTATGTGAATTATATCTCAATAAAGCTGTTTAAAAAGAAGTAAAACATTTTTGGTGTTTATTAGATCATTTTATCGCAGCATACATACATGCACATACAAGATAAATCCAATAACTTTCCCAGGAATAGTTACAGCATAAGAACAACATACACATACACACACACACACACACACACACACACACACACACACACACACACACACACACACCCAAGCATGTGAAGTATTCTTTGATTTCTGGATGCTGTACAAATTCTATTGACACTAAGAAGCTAAAGATGAGGAAACAGGATAGAAAAAGCTGTTTCTGAAAGGAGAAATATCTTAGGTCCATCCATTGGATATCTCTTAATGGTATAAAAGAAAGTTCCTGTTGCACAAATATTTTGCAAGTATCCTCTAATCTTATAACCTCCCAGCCTTTAAAGCTATCCCTGTTTTAATCAAGGAGGAAGCAAACTGTTTACCTACAATCCTAAACAATCCTTTTAGATAAACACAAAACAGAATAATACATTTTATGGAATTGGATCTAATAACAACAGGGGTGTAAAATGGTACTAGGTCCTGAGAAACTAATCTTAAAGTAGGACCATTAAAGGTAAAGCAGACAAAACCAACTCCCCCTCCCACTCCCACCCCAGCCTCAAATCATCTGGACCTCCAATTAAAAAAAAAAGCAAAACAAAGTAAAAAAAAAAGAATTCCGGCACAAAGGCCTCACATTTCTACCTTAATTTTTAAAAAGAACACTAATTTCTGAGACATTTTCAAATTATTGCTAGTTATTTTGAGTGAGCAATTTACTTACAGGAATAGTTCATATAGGAAATCAGTTTTTAGGAAATGAGTTTCATGATATCTTAAGGGACAATTTTGGCTGGATAATTCTAAGGTTCCTCAGTGTTTTCCAGGTTACTTTCCCTCTTCTTAGGTACTCTAAAATGAATTAGATTAGCAATGAACTTCATCTAATGTGACTGGAACAGTGTCATATTCCTAATACGTAGGAATATATATCAATTTGTTTCAAGTGGAACTT